AAATTCACATAAGGTTTCTCTTCTTTCTCTATCTTTTCTTTCAAATCAAACAAAGTCTATCATATTTTCTTCTTGTTCTAAATTTAAAGTGAAAACTTAGGGGGCATTTGGCAAATCTTTTCATATCTTAATTTTTTAGGAATTAAAGACAGGAAGCTGGAAAGACCCAGGCCCCAAAAAGGCTCGTGGAGGCCCAAAATGGTAAAAAATCAAGAAGTTTCAACTCAATAGACCACGGTAAGATAGGATATTTACCAAATGGTTTTGATCTTTGAAGACAAGATCCCAAAAACTTAATTTGTCTTTTAAGCATCTGGGCCATTGAAAAATCTTCTTAAAAAGACTTACTAAATTACACCTTAGGCTCAGTTTGAAAGGAATACAAATACAAATATATAGAATGCAAAACATTATATTTTGTATATATTTATATTGTCTATATTTGTATTTATATTCATTCCAAACTAAGTCTTAGTAAACTTGGGCTTGTTAAGGATAAGGCATATCATGAAGAAGCTCTTGCTTATCTAGTAAACTTGGGCTAGTCAACTTGGGCTTGACTATTATTTTGTGATTGAACCTTTTTGGAATGTAGAAGTTGACTCTCTGGACATCATCAAAGCTGATTTCGGAATCTATGGGCTAAAACATTAAAAAAATTCAAAGCCCACGAAAGATGTAAACCCATTTCTTTATTTTTTTCCGACTATAAATAACTTAATTCTTGTTAGACTCCTTGCACCTATTGTGTGCGGGATCGACCCCATTGAAATTGCTCAATATTTCAGATTTGTTTTCTGGGTTGCTTTTGTAAAGAAGTATAGATTAAGCAGATAGCAAAATCATAGCACCATAGAGCCCATTTAGGCTATGTTTGGTTTGAAAAACGTTACAATATTAACACCATATAGGTGTTGGTGTTTATTGTGCATAAAATCATTGTTTGGTTTTAAATTTTTAATATTTATCAAATAAATACTGAAAAATATAACTGCTTTGATTTATATGCATAAGGTGTTAAAAAAATTTTCAAATTTTTGCTTCTCCTACATCTAGACATTTATTGAAATGAAATGCTAATGTGACACACTTTAAGCTGAAGTAAAAAATAACTTTATGAGATATTATTTGAAACGTCGATAAGACGTTCAACACCCACAAAGCCAAACAAATACTCAATAAAAATTACTCAGATGCTACCATTCCTACTAAAGTTAGTATTGAATAATATTAGATGGGATCTAAAGTGAATTAAAGTACCGTGGATTTTATTTTAATTTAATTATTATATAAAAGAATCCACTATTTACCATACATATCCATCTCAATCAGATTTTAACATAGTCATGATATGATCCATTGATAGCTGATGTTAATGGGTCGGGTTAAGTTGTAGATTCACACTGACCCGACTCTATCAGGTTAGTAGCATGCTGTTTAATCGGGTTTGATTTTCGGATCAGGTTACTGAATCCGATATATGGGATGGATTGGGTCAGGCCAGGTTTGGTATTTCATCTTTTTTTTAGTGGGGGCTGGTTCAAAATAAAGCTGCATTGGATCAGGCATAAATTGATTCAAACCTCCTGTGTTCAAACCTGACTTGTTGACATCCTTAGATAATTATGATACGACACAAAATGATAATGATAATGTCATTCTTGTATTTTTCTTTTTCATTTTGTTTCAATGGAACTGATCAGTTTTGGATTGGATCCATCCAAATCAAAATCAATTAAACAGTCAATAAAATATATCGGACCAGTCTAGATTTAATGGTTCAAAGTATTTATTAAATTAGATTAGATTAGACCTGATTCATTCATAATAAATTTATATTAAATTGGGTCATTGAACCAATATCCAATTCATTGATAGAAGACAAAAATGCAGATAGCGATGGATCATACAAACTAAGGCCTACACTGTGGGGGGTATGGATTTTGTGAAATCAAAATTATTTTTCAACCGAATAGTGTCTCATTTTTTTCAAGCAGGTCCCACATGTTACATCCTTAAAACATTAACAAGGAAAAACGGTTAATGGGATCCAGAAAAGTGAAAATTATTAGACATTCTCTCATGCATAAATTTTAAATTGAAATTTATGCCTTAAAAAATAATAATAAAAAAAAGAAGGAAAAACGAACAAATCTCACATAGTCACATGACACCAATGGAATCCACAGGTTAAATGCTCTTATGGTCCCGTTCATGTGGGGGCCACTCATTGAACGGCGACCGTACACATACTAAGTAGGGCAAGAGAAGTATGTATGGGGGGAATGGAGAAAGCGACTTTAGCTGCTGTAGCCTGCCACCATAAGCATAAAATTGACAAAGGAGTTAGATTAGGTGGAGGAACTAACTGATTGAGGATCACTATTCACTCACTCACAGTCACAGACTATGAGATTATTAATCTACCTATCTCCTCCCCTCATATGACTACCCTACCTACCTACCTCTCCCAAATAGTTCTACTGAAAAATTCATGATGTATTGTAACAGAAGTAAGATTTTTAATGGATATAATAATATAGAAAGGAGTCTATATTGATGTTATTAGTCATTTAGTTGGGCTGCAATTTGGGTGGACTCGAGTTGAGTTTGAATATTTATGAAAGTTTAAATGGGCTTGGCCCCAAAATCATGGCCCAATGAAGTAGTATATCATTCTCTAAATGGAGTATTTCAATTGCGAGTCCGGATTTCATGCACATTTTTCTTTACATTCTATTATATTAGTTTTCACGATAAGGAGGATTAATTTCTCTAAAATCTGTGTAATAGAGGAGAAACGAAGAAGATCTATTTCTAATCTACAACAAAGGAGAAACAACAAAATTTATTATTTATTTGCATCGTTGTGCGTTTTTTTTTTCTCCATTTCTCTTTGCAACAATATTTATCTCTTCTCCGATAGAAATAAAATCTAACCTCAACTTTCTAGACGATCATGATATCTATATATATATATATATATATATATAAAGAGAGAGAGATCATTCCATAGCCCTCTTTGCAAAAGCCTTCTCATAGCAAAAACATGGTCAAGAAATTTTTACATAGATTTGGATTCTTAAAAAGAAATTGCGGTAAACCCTTTAAAGAAGAAGAGGGTTTTCTATTTTCTTAAATGTATTTTAATATTTAAAAAAAAAAAACGCATCCATTAATTAGTTCATAGGAATTTAATCGTGGGATGCTGACCTGGTACATTTACAGATCTTAATGTGCAGGTGCAGGAGATCCGGACTCCTCTTCAATTGCACCCATATTAACGACTATATAGAAATTCCTGATGTTAGTGCAGGGATTTATTTGTAGAGGCATTTAGAATCCATTATTTGATACCTAGTCAGAATTAGAATAAGTTGGAATAGAATCTTCAGGGATCTCAATCCCAAGGGAAGGGAGGGAATGGTTATTCTTCGAATGGGAGATATCATTCCATTAACAATGAGAATGGGATTCTAATTCTACCCAAACAAACATTTGGAGATGGAATGGAACATTCTGGTTCTGATTTCAATTCTAAACCTATACTCCCACAAACCAAACAGATTCTTAGCATCCGAATTGGTCTCATACGCAAACCTATAACCTGCCTGGATAAGATCCATAACAGTAAACCCCATGTCATGTGATGTCCGACCTTTTAGATTCAGTTATTTTAATAACCCAAACCTGCTGAAATATATATATATATATATATATATATATATATATATATATATATAAATAAATACGGTAAAGGGTCTAATCTCATGTCGACATCTCCATCATACGCCAGACTATCTCAAGCTTCATTCTGGTTGCATTCAGTGCTCAAAGTATTCTAGACTCAATACTCTCTGAAAAAGAAAATATTTGAAAACAAGCTTTGAAATCTTCATTCTCCCTGATGAAGATCGATCAAGCTATGGAAATTTTCCTTCTAAATTTGCAGCATTTCGTATATTGCTCAACCTGAAAATCGACACATATCCCACAACAAAATACAATATATATCTATAATTTGGAACTTTGTTAATTGGCCATGTGTGAAGGTTTTTACAGGAATTAGAATCAATTAAAAGGGTATTTTATTAATTTCCAAGTGAGGGGAGGGAAGACTTCACATCTGCGTCCCACAAGGAGGCACCCCACAATGCCCCGCAACACATTGCGACCTTGTATTGGGATCCATCTCCTGATAATAGTATAGGATATGATAAGACATCATGGGAAGATGTTCCCAATACAAGGTCGGAATGTGCTGTGGGGCGTAGATGTGAACTATGGAGAAAATGCCATTCTACTGGGAACGGGAATAGAATTCCAATTCTACGTACCCAATCAAACAGTTGAATCAGATCCGATTCCAGACCCCTATCCCTGCAAACAAACGGCCCCCTAATTTCCCCACGGTCATTTTCCAAAATGAGCGCTGGTCCTCTTGATTCAATTCCTATGCTACCAATATATCTCTTAACTTTGAAGGCTTATTTTTCAAGTTAAAACAAATATATACACAACCAAAAAAAGCAAACGACAAAGATAAATGATTCATCCAAACGCAGCCTACTCAAACAGAAAATTGTTCTGTGATTATTCTGTGCATGGTTTGGTATCAAACTGGACTGTAACTCGTTGATGAACCAACCAGCTTCTCTTTCGGTTTAATGTCTGGTCCGGTTTCTTGAGCAATGTGGAATTTTCCCATGAACTGGACAACGACAACGAGAATGTAGGATGATAGTAGGAGGAAAGGATATAACCGTAATTGAATATTAACTCTTGGTATTTCGGTCATTTCGTAGAGATGGTAGGCTTGGTAGCTAATTACTCTCACAAGTCACAACTATTCCTGGAAAAAACAACAGCACGCCATTCTCCGTAAATATGTGGTTATGAACAGCAACGAGCACCGTTCAATTCGTTTTCAACCGTCACTCCACTCTCTCGATCAAACCCAGGTCAGTCCCATCAATTTTTCTGAATTTTAGCCCGTTTTTTGGCATTCAAAATGTTTTAATGTTTTTGTAGAAATTCTTTAATTTGTGGTTATAACGCGGGTTGTATTATATTTTTTTTTACCTTTTTGTTTTTTGATTTGTTCTTCATAATGGGTTCGTTCTCTTTTTGGAACCGTTGTTGGTTTTTGAATTAAGATGTGATGTTCGATGGGTATTTTTCTGAATGGAGTAAAAAGCTCTCTGAAGTCTGAAATTCCTTTTTGAGTAATTCTCATGCTTTTGTTTGTTTATTTATTTATTTATTTTTGCTTCTGCATTACTTTGTAATTTTTTTAATCTCTGTTTTCAGTAGTTTTCATGAGTTTTGCAAATTTTTGAGATAACACTGGTTTGGTTTGTCTATGTCTTCTGCAGAGTCCTGCTAGTAATTGATATTCGGATGCATCCCTTTGAGTTTGCACTTCGCAGCTTTCGTGATTTCAGTACTGATTTAGAATATTTACTTTTTCAAAAATATTTTGTCGGTTTGATTATATTTGACAATCTCTTGTTTATTCTTAATCTTGTTGGTAGTGTGGTTTGCGTAATCCTTGTGTTGGGGAGAGCTAAAGTAATTGGTTTATACAATTCTAAACAATGAAAGAACATATATCGTAGTTCGTTAAGAGTTTCAGTTCTTTCATGATCTTGAGATTCCTCCCTTGATTTGCCTCGGCAAAGTCCACTGTCCACTTATTTTCTGGGTATTTTGGCAATCTGCCTTGGGAGGAATCTCTGTCTTAGCGCATGAAATTATTTTGCTACATGCAAGTCCTTCAGTCTTTGTACTAACATCATCGAATGAGCCTCTCATGGTTTTCTTCCATAAATTTGCATTGGATTAGCAGGGTAAAGCTTAAGGGAGTTTAATTATGAAGTTCAAACAAGGGAATAAAGTAGAGGTGCTGAGGAGGAAAAAGGATCTATTTGGGTCTTGGTATCCTGGAAAAATAATTTCAGTAGATGGAGATCACTACACTGTTAGATACGAGGCATTTCTAAACCATGAAGGAAAGCCAGTTGTTGAGAAGGTTTATGCAAAAGGTGTTAGGCCTCAACCGCCATCAATGAAGGGAGGGGAACAATGGGCTGTTGGTGATACAGTTGAGGTCCTTGATGTTCATAGTTGGAAGCCAGGGAAAATTGCTAAAGTCATGAACAATAATCGGTTTGTCATCAGAATGTTTGGGTCCATCCAGCTTAGGGAATTTGACAGAAATACTCTACGGGTTTGGCAAGTTTGGCGCAACAACAAGTGGGCTTTGAGTGGGAAGGTAGAAAATCCTAATTCCTCATTATGCACTACTGGTTTTATTTTGAATCCTGACTTTCTCATCTTACTTGTGTGTTTCTTGCTATCTTGCTAAAATCCTGGATGAGGGTACAAACTTTGTCTTCTCATTATTTGGGATACAATTTTGTTGGGCTTCTGAGAAGAATTCTATTATTTTGTGATTGTTCAATGGCAGAACTTGCCAAAACATCACAATAATTGATTTATTGCTTTTACTAGATTTTATTTCTCACTTTTAATAGCTTATAGTGTTGGTTTTGTTATATTTACCAACTTGAATTATTCCTTCATGTTGATGGCATGCGGGTGGTGTATCTAGTTGAATAAGGAATTTCTTAGAAATAATCTTAATGGAGAAATTTTTGGCCATCCTTTTGCTTGTTTGGATAGGGAGCCTTGATTTTTGAAGCAATTTAATTTTTACAATAAAAGGAATATCTTCCATAGCCGTGATTCTAAGTTAATTATACCACCTCAAAGCTTGTTTATTCCTCTTTCTGTTAGGCACCTTAGCGCCAGCTGTTGGATATGATAATAATGTCATTCTTCCAATATCCAGTGGTTTTCATTGAAGTACAATTAGTTAACTCATTGATGGAGCTATGGAATTATTGTCCAGTGTAAAAACATTGTTGGATTTAAAAAATTCTACCAGAGCTTAAGTTACCGACATTGTTAAATAGGTTCAGGTATAGGTGTACAACACTATTCAGGCATATGTCCAAAAGTCAGTTTGTTTGAAAAATCACCATAAACAATGCCAACTCAAATTGGCGTACTGCTTGGAACCGATATATGGATATATGATATATTCAAAAATAAATATTTAATATCCAATCATGCAAGAAAACTATGTTTAATGTTCTAGATCCCATCCATTACTGATATTGAAAAGGGGGTGTATCAACAAGAAAAAGAACGCAATAAAACTTACTATAATAGTGCATAGAAAATCTATATTAGATGAGGTTTAGAGGCATTCCAGGTTGAGCAATGAGCATTGCATATGTTCAAGCTTCAACTTCTAATGTCATGCTCTTTTAATGATAATGGTTAGTAATTTATGTTCAATGTGTCTCCAGATGAGTGGACACATACCCAATCCATCAAAACTTTGCACTGAAAAAATGTATTTAGATTGTCTGATCAAACACATATGCCATACCCACACTGAATTTGTGCTGTCTAACATGAGCGCGTTTGGGATAAGAAATGGTTCAGGTATGTCAATCACTCGTATAGTCTGCCTTTATGTTAGGAACTTAATATTGTTATAAATTTAATGAAAGTTCATGCTAGATATAATTTTATGATGATGTTATGCATCAACATTTAGGAAGCCTAGTGGTGGTTTTCATATTTGACCTGAAGAGGAATAATACTATGCCTTACCTTGTAAATATTGAGGGATTTATGGAATGTAGGCTGGAATTTGATTCATGTTGGAATGGTCTTGTCAAGTGATTGAAGGCTCAGCTTTGGAATCCTCCAAGCTAACCTCTGTAACAATTTATTATATTGCTTGGTGCAATTGTAAACAGGCTGACAAGTGTGAGAAAACAGGTTTGAGTCTGAGAGCAGTCACATTGTACCAAAAATGTCAAAGGTTAGAACTGTATCTACTATCTAGACCACTCCTCCCCAAGACCTGGATGGCTGGGACCAGCATTGGGTTATGACCCTGTATGTATTTGTTGTTACTCCTACTGCAGTGGGTACTGTTCTAGTCTTGTAGAAACAATGGCAGATGTGGATCAGCAGCATGAATTAGAAATACTTGAAAAATAATCTAAATCATAGAAATTGTTTTGTTTATAAATATACTGGTATGATCTATGTGACTCCTACATGAAAATGCTTACTGATAAATTACAGTTCTCCTAATTATAAATTAAAGTGCATGTGGGCTCTATAATTGTCAGTTTTAACATCTGTTACTCTCCTAAGAACTCTCAAACTGGAAAGTGTGTTTATTATGGATGTGTGTGTAATACCTTAACAAGTCTTGTGCTTATGGTCTCTATTTCTATTCTTTGGTTGTCTTACTGACAATATCCCAATTTTTCACCAAGAACTAGGAAATATGATTGCATATATTCTTTATAATTTTCCATTCTCTACTTATTGTTTGGTTTGATCTCAGCAAAAGAAGCCCTAGCATTTCTCATGTGTATGTGAAGCTTTTTAATCCTGATTTAGTTAGCAGCAGCAACTGTTCTACTGCTTTTTTTCTGGTTAATTCCATCAGAAGTTCTGATACGTAATAAAGTGTTTCTTTTCAATGTGTTTGTATGGGGTGGAGGGCACAAATCTAAGAGGTTTTTGGTATGGTGATTTGGTTATTTGTTCTTCATATCTATATAATAAAATCTCAGTTAAAAATACAGTTCTAAGTATTACAAAAGGTATATTATTTATGTCAGTAGATTCTTGTGCAAGCCTGAAGTTGACTAAGCCTTCTTACTTTGGAGTATCCTTTTGGGGCTTTTCCTTCAGTGAGATCTTTTGACTTTATGGAAGTCCTAAGGGTTTTACACTCTGAACTTGTCACTAGGCTGCTAATAGTCCAGTTTTGATGTTCACAAATTCTAAGAATTTTTATTCTTCCTGTGTAAATAGCCACCCACACTGCTTTGGCAGTGGTCTCAGAATCAGACTTGATTTACTTAACTGCTAATAGATGATGGTCCTTAGTAGTATTTTCTCCAGTACTCCCATGTAAATTGGTTGGATTTCTATTCATTGCCTAAACTTTATGGAACAGCTTATGGTCAAGTGTTTTGTGTCAGACTGCTGGGTCTCTCTTGGTTTCTAATGAATTAAAACATATGCTTGCAGGTTGATGGAACTAAACAAATTGACACTAAAGTTGTGCAAATTTGCTCGAAGTATTCTCATGGCTTGGGAGGTGGGGAATGGGAAGAGTTCAAGACATTCATTCCTGGGAGAACATTGAAGAGGAAACATAATTGTTGTTATGAGTCATCGCATTATGATGCAGTCTGCCAAGGAGGTGGTAAGAAAGAGAAACCAGTCATAAAAATTGAAGGATGTGACGGATTGCCCATGAGAACTCTTCCATTCCCCAAGCAAGTGGATGCTTTTTCTTCCCAAAATTTCAAAATGGGTAAGAAATGCGTAAATGGATCTTTTGAGATGGATGTTAAAACAGACAAAACAAACAATTATGTGCTTCATCCATCTGCAATGCCTGTTCAGGTTACTGAAGAGAGTAAACAATGCTCTGCTTCTAGTTGTAGTAGTAATGATCACCAGGAATTTACTGCTCAAAATTTCCAACAATCATCTGGGAAAATTGCTTTTAGTTCTTCCAGTGATGTTTGTTCATCCTGTCCATCTATGACCAGGTTGAAAGGTTTACCTTTCTGTGTCAAAGAAGAATTAGAAGCCAACATACATAAACTAGAGCTACATGCTTATAAATCAACTATGCAGGCGTTGTATGCTTCTGGTCCTCTAAGTTGGGAACAAGAGTACCTCTTAACAAACCTTCGTCTATCTCTTCACATTTCAAATGAGGAACATCTTAACCAGCTCAGGTACCTCTTATCTTAACAAGTTCTTTGACCACCCTTGTTGATTTTCCTTTTCTTACTAGGCTAGAATTAGAACTAGATAAGTCTCAGTCAATTGACATTTTTTTTAAATGTCCATCCTCTTGTAATTATGTTGAGTTAACAAATAAAAGCAGGGAATCCTCTACCACGTTTTAGGTAGACCTAAAATGAGCTCTGAAAAATATTCCAGCACACTGCTTGTATACTGTAGATATATGTAAATGTTAACGAGGAGATCTGGTTTTAGTTCTTGAAATTTGAGGCCTTAAATATGCTTTATTATAAAAGGTGTATCTCCCTGTTGTTGTTTGTTATTTTAAATGACACTTTAATTCACTGTATTTGATTTAGAATCATAAAACTACTTTGCCAATTTCTTTTTTCCCTAGTCAATTTTATATTTCACATAATAAAATGCTTGCTGGTTTGAGGAAATATTTCTCAGTTCTACTCTGTATGTTTTTAGTTCGTTGTCATTTTAATTGGCACATGCTTTTTAGGATGATACTTAGGTGTTGTCTCACCAATTTTGCACATCAAGTGGATGTTAAGAAACTGTTGTAAGCTGTTTAGCAGATTCAATAGGTGATGGAAGTCAAGAATTAGCAGAAGCAAATACTGTTGCTAGACTAATAAGAATAGTAACATAGAATTCCATAAATTAAGCCTGCATAGTTAAGGTTTGATTGAGTTGCCAAGTGATACACAACCTTCCATCTTGGGGGTTGACCAACTCGTTTTAAAAATGTAATAGAGGAGATACATGGCACTTGACTTAGATGATATTGATATTCATCTAGTTATAGATGCAATACTGCACAATAAGGAAAAAGTTATTGACTTATCAGCCCATATGGTTTCAGGAAAAATCAACAATTGTTGAATCAAACTGGTCATCTATGCTACATATAAATTGTGGGATCTCTTGTTCCCTGCCTTAAATCATCATGACCTTCATGTGGTTTTAAAATTGGCAGTATTCATCTTCCTCTGCCTACTGTCATTTAAGAATTTCATATCATTTTTCTTTTTTTTTTACTTTTCAATATTTAACCAATTATCATATTTGTGTATTATAAGATGAAAAAGCATAAAGGTCCAGATTGCGTTTGATAAAGGTCCAGATTTTAAGAAAATGAACCCAATATCAGGTTGGCTCCAATACCTCATTTTTTCTTGTTTTTTTTTTTCTATTTCTGAAAGATTTACTTTTCGTTATATCTTCCTCCCAACAATGTACCCTTCATGTGGTGAATTAAGGTTAACCTTAAAGGGTTGGGTTGATCCTTGTTGATCTGAAAAAGATCATGTAATCAATGTGATTCGTTGCAATATGGTCATTTGAAGTTTGCTTTTTACAAACAAATCATCTTAATGTTCTCAAAAGGCTCTTATGAGGCTTTGTGGTCATCGCTATTCCATTATGTTTAGTATCACATCCATTGTTAAATTATGAGTACTTAAATCATTTCTTACTATTTCAATATACGACCTTTTTAGCCCCCCCTAACCTTTCTAGCCCCTTCAACTTGCAACAGATTACTTCTTCTTACGGTACTAGCAATGGTTTTCTATTCACGTGACCAAGCAATCTTAGTCTATTCTCACATTTTATTAATTTATTGGAGCTATTCATAGGTTCATTCAAACAACTTCATTTCTTTCAGTAACCCTTTAGTCATGGTAATTGTGGATCACTAATTGGATTTTCAGACATTCATTTTCAACTAGCTATTGCTTCTTTAGAAGTCATGAATCTCTGAAGTATTCAAGTAAAACCACAATTAGAAATGAGCTTTGGAGGCAGATAAGGACGGACCGCAGTGAAGAAAAATTGGAGAATTGAACAATTGAATTAGGGTAAATGCATCTGAAAATGCGAGAATTAGCTTCCATAGGCAACTTTGATGGCCCAACACAAGCCATTTTCGACCCAACCCAAGGTTTGTATGGGTTGGGCATGGATATTCAAACTCTGCTGAACTTGCATCTAAAAAGAGTTTACATCTGCACCCCACAACGTCCCACAGCACATTCCCGCCGTGTATTGGAAACATCTTTGAATGATGACATCATCATTTCTGGTACATCAGGAGATGTTCTCAATACACACGGCGGGGATGTGCTGTGGGGCGCAGATCTGAATTCATCTAAAAACTCAGGTTTGACCTCAATTCTAGTTGGGATTGGGTTGTGGCCTTTGGTAGCCCAATCCTGACCGAATCTTCCCAGAGCCTGACCCAACCCAAGCCCACGTTTACATAACATATGTACCCCTATATATGATGTCTATTTATGCAATTTATGTATGTCTACTATATTTATAATATAATGTACACTGTAGAGTATATTTAGTATATCTATTACAGATTACCATGGAGGAACTATAGTTAGCGGTGCAACTTGGGCGGGTTCAGATTAGGCTTTTGTCAAAATTTGAATGAATCTGGTCCAAAGGTCTGAGCTTTGAAGTAGTGTAGATTGCTAAACCCAGGTTACACCCCTATCTCTGGTTACATGGGTCTAATTTTTGGAGGGATGCCAAGTGACCATCTCAGATACTAGGTCATTCAGAAAGCTGAAAAAGCTAATGCAAGACAAGAGTAAGAAGACCAATAAATATTGACCAATTCACTAAGCTAGACTGGAAAACCTTGGAAAACATGGCTCAATGCTTGTTTGCTAAAACAATATTTAGTTGACCAATAAAAGTAAGGTGGCGTTTGATAAATCTGAAAATTCAGATCTGAAAAGTTAAAAAGATATTAAAAGTGTCTGAAATTTGAAAAGAGGCATAGTTGCTTTTCTACTTTTTAGAGGATCTGAATCCATATGTTTGTTTGTGTTGGATGGACCCTTTACCATCTGAAATTTACTGATTTTACTATTTTAACCCTAGAACATATTATTTGGAAATGTTGAGTTCAATTTACATTATTTCATAAAAAATAATTTTCAACCTCAAAATAATATTGAAATAATACAAATCATAGTTTTTAAAACCGACCCAGAGACCGAACCGGTCAGGGGTCCGATTACCGGGATAAACGGTCCAACCATTCGAACCAAACGATTGGCCCGTTCTGACAAAAAAATAAAAAAATAAAAAATGGTCAAAACCGTTCGAACGATTCGGATGGTTTGAACGGTTAACTGCTCGGGTCAGCTGTTTGCTGACCAAAATCAATGGTTTTTTAAGAAAATCTGGTTTTGGAGAAAACTGAAATCGGTCACCAGACCGATTCCCGATTTTTCCAATCTGACGGTTTGATCTGGTCTGCTTTTGAAAACCATGATACAAATAATAAATAATTAATTATTAATTATTAGTTAATAAATGAAATGATTAAAGTTAAAAAATAATTAATGACTATAAAAATATTAAAATAATTAATAATTTACACAAATAAAAATTAAAATGATTTCTAAAATTTAATAAATAATTAAAAATTATTAGTTAATAAATAATAAATAACACAAGTAAATTTAATAATAAATAATTAATGTTTAGTAAAAAATAATAAAATAGTTAATAATTAATAAAAATTGCAATGGAAGATAGGGAGAGAGAGAGAGAGAGATAGAGGGAGGGAGGGAGGAGAGAGAGAGCGAGAGAGAGAGAAGACGGGAGAGAGAGATGCCGTTGCAAGGTGGCAGTGGTGGGAAGACAAGGGAGGGAGGGAGAGAGAGTGGGAAGACAGGGGAGAGAGAGAGAGAGAGAGAGAGAGAGAGAGAGAGAGAGAGAGCTTGCAGTGCAAATTCCTAAAAGACATGCACGTGCAGTCTAGATGGAGGAACAGAAAGCGTAACATGGCTGTAGGCAATT